GCTCCAACTCCTGACTGAAGTCGAATTTTTGCTCACTGCTTAGTTCTCTTAAAAATATTTTAAACATCATAACAGTGCAGAAAAAGAGATGGAAACATTGAAAATCTTGGAATCATAGAAGGAAACTGCCTCTACACAAAGGAATGTAGTAAACATTCTCTCATTCCACAGAAGTGTATTTTCGAAAATCATGCAAATGAAATTGTTTTATAACGTTGTATAATTACATGAAAGCTGAGATCGGAGTTCCGCGTGATTCAGGCGTGAACTCCACTTGTGTCATGTAACATGCAACTACAAACTTTAGTTGAAAATTAAATTTGTGAAATCGAGAAAAATTGCAGTTCCTTTGCTCACTCTTGAAAAGAATAATGGACTAACTAATCGGCATTCAATGACTTCCTATTCGCCAAGTATTAAGTCTCCCATTACAACTGCTAAGAGTAAGAAATGCAAAGAAATCTTAACGACGGTGGAGAGTCGTGGTCTCATCAATTTGTCAAGCATTTTTTGTAGTTTCCAATACAATACCAGTAATTGTGCTCGCGTAATTTCTTATTAGGAGAAATTAGTTGAAAAAATTATATGACATTGATGGGGTCACAACTTTCCACAAATGCCAGTGTCATTTGAGAAATACTTTAGAAATCACTTAAGTCCACAACTCTCCACAAGAGCCAAATCTCTTTACATAAGATGTCGCAGTTAAGGGACTGGTATTTTTGTGCAAAACATTTACGTCTCAATGTGGATGACACTGCTCTCTAGTAATCGAAATAGCTCAAATCCCTCTGAATTCGTTGTTCCAAAGGATTTCTTCGAATCATTACGAAGACGTTGCGTCTGTACTGTTCCATAACCACAAATTCAAACTGTAAACAGTACCGTTAGTCATCAGGTTCTTTCTAAAGAAATTTCATAGATTTTATATTTCTCTTCACTTACGCGACCCCTCATCACTATATTTTATTGTGCTGATATCAGTACTTACAGCACTCGCTTCGTTTTTCGTCTCCCCCTTGAATACCGTAGAATACTGGTCGAGCATGTCTTCTTGCAATCTCAAGGATAGCCGGGCTGTGACGTTTCATAGGACGCTCTTATTGACTGCCGAAGAGTGCCAGGAGGTGAAGCTCGGCTCCACGCATTCCACAACGAGCATCCAACCAATCGGCCCACGGCGCTCCCTTACGAGGAAATTTGAAAGCTAAATATTGCTGATTAAAAAGGGCTTGCCGTTTACTTGAATTGCTGAGCGACGATCAGTTCGTCGGGGCATTATCTTCATGATTTCGATAGGATGCTGTGCTTAGAGAGGGAAATCAAATAATAGAAGAAGCATTATTTACTGATATGTTGAAGTAATCTATTTTGCACATATAAACATTACAAACACGAGATCAACAGTTTACGTTATCGAAGAGATAACCATATAAATACATACTTCAAAACTTACGTTATCTCAACTGAATTCTAGGTACAACTGATAATGAATAATCTGTTCAGTCACTCATTTGCCTCAACAGAACCGCCCTCATTCTCTTCTGACGCTAAAGTCAGAAAATTGAAAATTTTCTTGTGGAGAATCTCTCTCCATGCTCACTTCATTCATTTCGGGACACGAAGAGTTTATCGCCGTCAGCACATCTCCAGTGAAAACCGATGATGCACATGACCATGCGTTGGTGACTGGATTCGTAGTGACCACCAGTGCAACACACCAGTCCGCATCCAGACACGAGCTCGAGTCTGATATGCTTCAATGGGAAAAAAATTACTTTAAAAATGCTTTAAAAGGTTATAACCGCTCTCGAAATCCAGAAACAGCTTACATCCGCCAACAAGGACATATTCGCACAAATGCTGTACGCAAATTAATTGGGCACCGTGACAGCGACTCTACAACGGCCTCCACCACTCCCATTTGATTTGAGCCAATATCCGAATGAAATAGTAAAATCAACCATTTCGGGGATTATAAGGAACTAATACTAACAAATTTATATTGGGCAAACTTACTGGAACATAATTAACATAATTACAGGTAATCCGAAACGTTTTCTATTCAAATGAATAGCATGTGGAGAATCTTCTGACAGCGTAGATTTTCCTGCTTTAGACGCTCCGCTCAAATACTTTCGAAACAGACGGCAAAAGTTGGGCATTATGTATTCTCGACGAATAGTATTCCATTCATCGCAATACCTCAAGCATCGTAAATAGATAGATTTTTTGAGAGTTCAACTGATAATAGTACATAAGACTGTTATTTTGATATGAACGGTATATTATCAGCATATGTGATCTCTGCGCCGTTAGTCTCTACTTAGACAACTCAGTGGAAGACTTATAGAGGGCGGTGAATATAGTGGAGTTGTTTTCGCCTGATGCGAGTAAAATCTACTTTTGTACTTACTTCTATTGAATATGGAAGTGTTGGGCCAATTGGGTTATGAACAACCTGATCTTTTCAGGCCTTCAGGAAGCGAAACTGCAGAAACTTCAGCTGTTTGAGTGAATGTGTCATAGAAACCTCATGGTTGGTTCAAAATAAAGTAAGGAATTTTTTAAGCGTAATCACTGCTTCATAATGCTGTATATGAAATTGCAAGAAAAAGTTAGTAAGAAAGAAAGGAAAACTTAATTTCTGATCATAGTAAGCCCTGGTCTTCCACCAGTCACAATCACCTTCTTATTAATTAGAACGTTCAAATGATGACTTCTTACAAAAGTGCTAATTTCGAATAAAATATTTATTTCCAAACGAAATTGAATAGTTCCTATATCATATAGAATTTCGGTTTCTTTTCAGTTAGCATCGCCTTCTCCGATTAAATTGATCAATTGCTGACTTCTTACAACAAAGGCTAATTTAAAATGAAAATGCGAAGTGTCACAGAAGAACAGCCAAAAGGTCGTCAACCTTATCAAACTTCTTAAGGACAATGTACTGATTTTTAGAAAAGACCCTTTTTTTTACTGATTATACATCACCATAACGTGGTAAACGAGTGTTTTTTCTTCACAAATAAGATTTCATTTTGTCCAAAAACGTGGCAAGTATAAGGAAAAAATGGAGCTTCAAAATAGAAAAGGAAATTTGAAGATTATTCTAAAACCGAGAAGAAAAAACCTAACTAAATAGCAAAAGTTGTACATCGCCATCGCCGAAGAGTTTGCAACGTCGTCAAATAGAATCTCTGGTGAGTTCAAGCAAGATACGCAGCCATAACGACGATGACTGATTTAACTCGCAATCTACATATCATTCTTGAAACCCAGGGTGACAAAGCATGAGCCCTCCTTGCATTGACTGATTATATGCGCTTCTTCCATGACGTTCAGACCATGATAGGTTAAGCACTCTTTTAGTTGAATTGTCAACACCTTCCCACCGACATCAATGCTGAAATTTTTTCGTAACAACTAATCACCGGGAGAGGAGGAGTGCGATAGGCAGAAAGGGAAAGAGAAAGCGAAAGAGAGAATGAGTGCAACCTTCAAAACAAACAAGTCTGTCTACTTACCGTACTATTCCTTGCTGAACTGCATTCCCGTCAAGAAATGGAGTCACAGTAACTGACAGAGGCCACAGTCGGCAACTAAAACACAACCAACGTTCCGGCATGAACTTTCAAGCGCAGTGAACCCTACTGCTGAAAGAACAATCTACAGACAAATGATAAGGCTTTTGGAGAGCGTAGAGTAGTGGTAGTGTTGCAGCGTATCAGTAAGCAAGGCGGTAAGCCAAGAATTAGTTCAGACCCCTCTCCTATAGTGTTTTGCAGTGAATCAATCGAATTCTTTGAGGCACGCCTTAGCTGAACTATCTTGAAGGTGACAAGGAAATTCTCACAGTTACTGGCGAGCTTGAATTCCTTGTATACCTTTTTAATAGAGGTAGTAAAACGAGTGGTAGCGGAGCGCTGACCTGCTAGTGTATGAGTAGCTCGCGCCCTCGGTATGGGTGGAATGCGGGTTCAACTCCCACTTGAGGTCGAAAGTTTTATGTATCACTCAGCTCCTTGAGCCTACCTGTCTCCCGTTACTATTTAGAAGTCATTGAATTAATAAGTGACCTTGATGAGAAAAAACTGCGAAAAAATTTTCGGTAAGATTGGAGGACTTGTGGGCCGAGTGCTTAGTGGTGCTCAGAGCGGATCGATGCGGATTGGTTCTACACCCACCAACATCCAGCAATCAATAACAAATGTCCTACGAATCGCCCCAGCCTGGCTATCGTCGAGTTTGCAAAATGTGCTCAGCTAGTATTGCACGACGTTATCGATAAATAAAATTCCTCAATCGAGCGATAAACGCGAGCAGACGAAAAAATGCTAAAAGTACTGGGTTCTGCATAGCGAAAACATTGAAATATGGAGGAAATGAAGTAATAAAGTTTGATCCAATAGGATTATAACGTTCACATCAATGCATCCCAATGATGAGCCAATGACTCGCCAGCTGTTTTAGTACACTTTCACCAACTTTTTGACAACATTTTTAGCGCTAAAAACAAAATAATACATTCAAAATTGGAAGAAGACAAAAAGTAGCAGTATGGGGGTCCAGTCCACACAGAAGACGATTTTTAAGAAAATTGGACTAACTTATGATCGCGTTTTAACTAAACCTTATAATGTGTTCCACATTGTCTTCGGCTGAAAGAGACGCTCATAGAATACAACGTCTTTCCAGAGCATCTCTTTGGCCCTCGGTTGCATGAGCATTAGTAAGAACGTCATACTTCCAGTATAGTACCCTTCTAGATAACTGTTTTTGGAGTCTATGCAGGCTTGCTGTGCTCCGTCGTGAGACAGGCTCATCCTTAGTGCGGTAACTTCCACATTGAAAGTGTCGAACCTTCCAATTTCAGGAGGATGGATAAAGAAGGGCTTCCTACTTGCTGCAATTCAACAGTCGAAAATGTTCCTGCCATGATGATCGGTAAATATTACAGCCATTATATTCAGTGATGTTGAGTAATATGCAAATCCTCGAATCTCAAATGGGAATCGAACCCGCGTCTCACCCTTCCAGGGAGCGCGTGTTGACCAATTGCATTGCCGAGGTTCCTGTTCTAATGCCACTTTTTCTGAGATACAAGGTCAGTCCGAAGCCTATCCGACTAAGCCGTTGCTGACTTGTTCGTGAAAGATCAATACCTTGTGCCGCAGAGTGATAGCAGATCAAAAGCCTCTGTAGTGCAATAGGTTAGCATGGCCCCGGAAAAGGCTGAGGAACGGGTTCGATTCTTGTCTGAGGTTCGGATTACTGCATAGTCTCAATTTTATTGAATATATAACTGTAACAGCCTAAGAGCTCCCGAAGTTGATCAGTCCCTAATAAATGCGTCACCCATTCGTCATCAATTTTTAACTTCGCTCGAGGTAATTAATGCATATCTGACTTATACAATAACTCGCGGTGGCCTACCGCTGTATTAAGTCAGTGCTGCTGGACCGTTTAGGCAAGTATGGTACCGAATTACCGACTCCAGAGAGATAGATGACTTGATGAACCGTGAGCGCAAGATTGAACCATCGACCCTCTGTCCTACGCACAGCACCTTTAGCCAGTGCACCAGGTATGAATATGTGAAAAAGTGCAGGGAAAGAAATTAAAGGCAGTCATAGGTCTCCACAGGGCTGGACAATTCTTCTCAGTAGATCGTAAATGTAGGGACTGTTACCGGGTAATAGAAATGTTCAGCCGAAACCCAGACTCAATCGTGATGTCAACGCGGAGGTGGCAGATTTCTAATCTATTGCTTGGCTTGAAACCATAGAAACATAGTGAATTGTGACACAGAGATATACCTGATATCTTGAATACTGATTGAAAGTTATGGTGCTCGATTAGCTCCTCGGCACTAACGTCTTCAATAGCTGGTATTAGATAATTTGGATCCGTCAGTCTATTCGAGAGTCCTGCCGAGCAGGACTCGAAAACATGCTTCTAGATCTGCTCCTCAACGTCGGGGTTAACTACAACGAAAAACTTACTAGGGCACTTAGATGTTAGACGGCGATAAATGAAAACCAGTCCCTTTTGGTGAACAAAAAATTTCCACAGGAATGTTAGTAATCATCTGAAAGCTCGAATCTTTGGCTATAGCTACACATAGCCGTTTTTGCAGAGACCCTCTTATAACGCGTAATCCAAAATAAAATATTGTTCCAAACATTCAGGAGCTCTTTCCTTATCCCGCTAATATTTCGCTGGACAAAACTTCCTCCTTAGAGTGCTAATACTTTTTCAATAGCAAAAGCCCAAGAGCTCAAAAATGTGCTTGCATTTGGTAAAATGACAGCGCTGCAGGAGAAGGCAAACGTTCGCGTTCTACACATCGTCGGACAAAGAGCTTTCTTTACCTACTAGTAATTTTTCCACAGCGTAAGTTCCAATGATTTCAATGATGTACTTTTTACTAGAAATTTCTGTGCTTATTTCGCCGGTTTTTCGAAACACCCTTTCAAACCCTGTTTGATCCAAAATAAACTTATGTTTCGCACTCGCCTTTCGCCTTCATTTTTATCACGTATATGAATCGCTGGATGCACGAAAAGCATATCAGAGCATGGAGAATTTACCGCATTATCAGAATCATACGTTTTTATCTAAAATTTCTATCGATGTGGTGAAAAAACCATCAATAAAATAAAAATAGTTGCCGCCGTTTCAACTCATAATGCGTTAGATCACTAACGAGCTAAGCGGCAGATCAGGTTTGTACTCTGCGTACAAGGCGGCGTTGTGGTTCCCCTTCGCATTTTACTCAACTATGAACCTTTTTACTTTTCCAAGGACTGAAGGAGCACCCTTTCAAAAAAGGCGCCAGATGATCGCAGGTAACAATTTTTTTGACTTTCAAACTCATAGTCTCGCCGGAATCGTTATGATCAGGTGATGATGTTATTAAACTGGAATTGGAATAAAATAGGACCTTTTAGACTACAGAATGTCGTCAAATTGATCATAGTGATCATATTGTTGGATAGATCATTTATTTCTATTCATAGAGCAATAATAAATATTCCAACGTTGTGCTTATTTTCTGGAAATATCGCTAGAACTACAAATGAGGTCGAAATTTACATTTTCGGCGACTTTGTTACCGGCCAACCCATGGAGCGGAAGAGGCTGGGAGGGGTGGCATTTTTCATCGCATCGGCAGAAACTTCAGATAAAAGTGTAGATTCTGATACTTCGAAAAATCTTCTACACGATGATATGCTTTTCGTGCTTCCAGCGATTAATACTCGCGACAAAAATGAAGACAAAAGGGGAATGTGAAACGAATTTTCGTTATGGATGTTACAGCGTCATAATAAAGTGTTTTGAAAAACTGGCACGGTGAAGCTAAAGCCAGAGATTTGAGCTTCCAAATAATCACTGGCACTCCGTGAAAAGTTTTTGTCCAGCGAATGAAATGGCTCAAAAACTTGTCGCCTTTTAAAATATAAGTACCCGGAAAACTACCAAAATGATCTGTTTCTGAGAGGCAAAAGAAACAATAGGTGATAATTATGGAGTGCATTAATCAAACACTGGTAAAGAATTCAGTCGTTTTTGCTGTAAACCAAGGATGCGCTTCCGTATCTGATGCACAAAAGGTATTATATCATTCGTGAAGCTTTCAAACAATACATTACGGACAAGTACTCAGTAACCCCTCAAAATTAGAGGATAATAGTCGCCTTGCAACTAGTTTGATTCCACGACGATGGTGAGCTTCCGGATGGGAACGACGAATATTCAGTTTGAGGAGCTGTGGTGCAGGAATTGACTTCCCAGTGTATTTTGTAATACGATACTCAGAAACATCCAGACCACGCTGGCGCGATAACCATCACGGGATAACAACGTGCTATAGACATATCAAAAGCCTCGTTGAAAAAAAAGGGATGGGCAAGAATTATGCTAGCCGATTAAGCTCACTAACTTTCCAATCGCCGGGCAGGATTTGTCGTGCAATTAATACCACGTCCATTTCAGCAGCGCAGGATAAGAATTAAACCTGAACTGGGTCAAGGAAAGCACTGCAAGGTAGATGGTCGCAAAATCGATAACTCTCTTTTGATATGCCTTGAGATTGCCTTGCGTATGGTGCCCACACTAGTTGTTCTTAGTTACAGAGAAGGCGTTGCACGACAAAAGCCATCGCGGAACGCTTCGTGAAGTGTGGAAAAGGAATACTATAATTCCATTTCATATTTTCGTCCCTATAAAGACCACTTTGGTCAGACGAAACATCGGAAAGTGCCTCGGATAGGTTGAGATATCCAAATAAACACTCACGGCTTTTTCAAAAACTATTTTGTAACTTCGAAAGAAGATTGATGTTTCCCCTTGTGTTAATTTTATTCAAAATCTGTGTCGGATGCTGATTATGTCTCCATGGAAACAAACCTATCCACGATGATTCCTATTTGTAAGGCGGATATCTTTGAAAGTGATTTATGGCCATTAAAATCATGGTGGACTAGGACATAGGGATGATAAAAAATAAAGCGCAAGTGATGATGAAAGGTTTGAGAAAACTTGGTTCTCTCCCAACTTTATCTAAACATGAGCTTTTGGACATGACTATTTTTGATAAACGAACAAAGGCGTTCGCCTTAAAATTTGAATAATTTTGACATGAGTATAAAGTTGTTCTGTTTTCATAAACTTAGAAAGGCTTTTTTATCTACATTTTACAAGTGCCAAATTGTCAACCAGTCAAAGCTCGTACAATTGGCTCGTCGCATTTCACATATAACAATAAATTGTACCCCAATATTTCCACACTTTTGCCATGTCAAAGCAGAATGAAGTACGTAAATGCATTATTTATTACAAATACTTCACAACAGAATTTTCGGTTTAGCTGACAGTGGCAGATGCCGAGACGAAGTGTAATGTAGCTGGACTCGATGATAGCATTCGAACCGCTTTATTCACGACATTCTGCCACATCTCTCTCGACCAATTCGCCATGATGACATTCATAGTCTACATAGACCTCTGTTAAAAGCAAATTTCTATAAAAAATGGAGCATTTCAAACCGTGAGAGTTCCTGATACGGTGGTGTAGTTGGAAACTGGCTCGATATCCTTGTCCATCTTGCGGAACTCACACTTAACCATCGCCCCATCCTCTCGAGTGCATATGCCGGTCACCGTGCTGCCGACAATGACGCAGTGTGGATTCTTCGCCTTGTCTCCCTCGACTGCAAGCACCTTTTTCCCAAACATTTATACGCATTGATAGGTCAGACCAGTACAGGAAATAGTTTTTGTAACTGATTTCTTTGTTGTTCCTATTTGTAATATTACACAGTAGATTGACAAATAAGAAATTGTGTTAACTTGTTTAAACGAGAAGTAAAAATTTTTTAGCAGTCTTATTTCGCATTTTGTTGTTTTGCCAGAATGAATAAGATAACACATAGCATACGCTTTCACGATAATCTGAAATCATTGGCAGGAGAAATGTATGTAATTCTATGCGTTTTAAGATTCGGCAATATGCACTTTTGAGGTCAGTTATTGGAGGTAAAAGTTTAACTTGCACAAATTACTTGGATTCTGTAGGCAGAAAGCCATAAGAATACCGATTTATGTGGGCGAAAAACGGAAAGGGAATAAAATCGAACCTTTCGCGATACACATAAAACACTAATTTCTTTGCAAAGGTGAATAAATCTCATCTTTTGTTTACACTTTCACATCTTTAGAGGATATATTACCTCGTCCCATCATCATTTAAAAAAGTTGATACTGAGCGTTGTGAATTCTCGTCCATTCTTCTCTTATTTAACTCGTATAGCTATTTCTGCACTGCGCGAATTTCTACGCTTCTAGCATTCAAATCGTCCTCCTTGTATTCATCGTCTTATTGAGGATTTGTCTTCTTCATGATCGTCGTTGAATACTGATTGAGCGCGGCTCTTTGCAATCTCGAAGACAGCCATACGAAGGAGTTCCGTAGGACTTTCATTACTGACTGCAAGGAAGTGTTAGGGAGTGGAGGTGAACGATCAATTCTGTGTCGAACCGCCCCGAGCATCACCAGCCACGCGACCGCA